CTGCTGCCCCTGGCAGTGGCTGTGTGCTGGAATCTGCGAGGAAGAGCTGCATGGAGGTGAGGAGGTGAGGAGGTTCCTCCGTGGTTCCGTTTTAAAATCCGCCAAAAATAACTGAAGGAAAAGAAAAGGTCAGTTTTTCGCTCTGGCTTTAATTAGAGTTGATCAAGTTAGGGCAGCAATAAATCTTCTGCCAGTTTCTTAATTGCCACCGGTGCCAAAAACCAACTGCAGGAAAAGCTGAACAGCTGTATTTTAAAAGCTCAGTAACCGCGCTGAATAAATTAACATTAATATTATTGTCAAAACAAAAGAAAAGACAAAAGAAAAAAACACTTTCTGAACCTCAGTAACCACACTGAATAAATACACATTAATACTATTGTCAAGGCAAAATATCTAAAAGGGGCAAAAAACGTTTAAATGGCATAAAAGTGTGGCACAGCTCAAGAAAGGCAGTAAAACCAGTCACACTGATATAAAAACAGGGTGGATGTGTTTTTGAAAGTGATTCATTTAGCCATTTGAGAGTGTGGTTGGCAGATGTTTTAGCATGGTGTTAAGATTAATGATGTCTTCAGAGAGCTGGATCATGAGGAACTAATGCACCTGGCAGAGTGTTCCTCCCATTCTTGGCTCTTTTGGATCCTGTAATCTCTACTGATTGACAGCAGCATTGCTGCCTCGTAACTTGATGTCTCAGATCTCAGAAGGGCTTGGCCTGGACACAGTGGGGCTGCTGGTGCAGACTGGCTGCTGTGTGTCTCCCAGGTGGGGCTGCTGGTGCAGACTGGCCGCTGTGTGTCTCCCAGGAGGAGCTACACCAGTGAGGGTTGAGGCTAGCTGACTTGTAAAAATATTATTGTTGCTTGTGTAGCCCCTTCAAGGAGCTCTGAATAAGACCCTGCCTTCACGTATCTCCGGAGATCTGTCTTTGCCTGTTGGAAAAGTTCCTCTGAACACACTCTCACACATACCATGTGTTTCTTTCCTAGCAGAGTAAAGCATCAAAAATACTGATTTCCTTTTACTAGAACATAAGGGAGGTTCCAGGAAAGAGGAAGCTGTTTGATCCTTCCAGTCTGTTATGTGGGTAATAGTTAATTGAGCCAGGATATTGGCTTAAACAACACAGCTGGATAGATTGTTATATACTCCCACAACCCTTTGTGTAATGTGTGTAATGACTCTATTTGTCTGGACGGTCTTTCCCAGCTGTTTCTTGAAAGAAACCAGGTTATCATCTTCAACTGTATGGCTGGACAGTTTGTTCCCTACACCCACCATCCTTTGTGCAAAGAAGTGCCTCCTGTTCTAGGTCTGAAATGCGGATGAGAAGATAGAGGAAACTGTTTTCTCCTTGCTTGTGGAGGATGGAAAAGAGCTGGTCAGCCAAGGAGACATGGGAGAGTTCCTGAGAGGCCAAGGGCAGGTGACCTCTCACCCCGGCTGAGGTCACTGCCGGACCCCGGCGTTTCCTGTCCAGCTGTCCACTCTCCCAGAGGCCAGAGAGAGAGGCTGAACGATATACCAACCCCCCTGCACTCGCGTCTCGGAGTGTTATTTTGCAACTTGCAGTGTCAGATGGAACTCTTATTTTACGGTCAGTGGTTTTGGTTCGCCAATTCATTCTTGTGTCTTGCGTCAGGAGTAGTCTGGGCCTCAGTGGGGGTAAAGCCACATTGAAAACGAATAGATACATTTATAAAGACATTTATTTACATCCAGGTGGATGCTGCACATTGGTGGTGGTGGAGGGGATCCCCATTACCTGTAAAGCGCTTTGAGTGGAGTGTCCAGAAAAGCGCTATATAAGTGTAAGCAATTATTATTATTATTAAGCAATTATTATTATAAAGAGAACAGTCAACTGCTGAGTGCAGGAGGGATGTGTGAACGGAGTTATAGGATAATTTTGATTCTGATGTATTGCTGTTGGCGGCATAGTGGCGCACTTGTTAGCATTGCTGCCCGAGTTCGATTCCAGATCTGGGGTGCTGTCTGGGTGGAGTTTGTATGTTTGTATTAAAGGTCAAAGTGGGCTGTAGCCTGTCCCGGGAAGCACTGGGCCCAAGGCAGGACACAACATTGACGGGACACCAATCTATCACAGGACACACAAACTAACACCAGGGCCAGTTTCCCCAAAAGCCAGTTAAACTACCAGTACGTTTTTGGACCGTGAGCTCCTGGAGGAAACCCATGCAAATATGGGGAGAACATGCAAACTCCACACAGACAGCACCTCAGGGATTCAATCCAGTGC